GTCGGAAAATGGTCCTCTGATGAGCTTCATCTGGGTGGCCAACATGGTGTAGGCTCTCATAATGATAATGGTGAGCGATTGCTCCAGCTGTGTGAAGATGCTCGCCTGTTTCTCGCGAGCACTGACTTTCGACACATCACCAGCAGAAGTGTGACTTGGCGGCCACCAGCCTCGGGCCAGTCATGGACGCAAATCGATCATATCGCGATAAGTTACCGCTGGAGAGGCTGTGTCCAAAACTGTCGCTCGATTTGGAGCACGAGCGTGGACTCTGACCACGCACTTGTATGTGCCGACCTCCTGGTGCGTTTCGGTGGACGTCCGCGACGTCGATGTGAACGGATTGACACTAGTCAGCTGGCGAAGCCAGATGTTCTGAATGTGTACCAAGATGCGCTGACATCTGGGCTGAGTAAGCGCCCACTAAACACCGTTGAAGATCACTGGTCGCATACTCGTCAAGCGTTGCTATTAGCAGGCATGTCTTCATGTGGCAAAACAAATTGCAAAACCGAACATTGGGTCTCTACACAGTCTCTGGAACTTATGGATGCTCGCCGACGTATTCCGGCTGGAAGCGAATACAATGAAGCTCGCAAAAATCTCAGGGCGAAACTACGTGCTAGCCTAAAGAAGGACCGCGAAACCTGGTGGTCTCATCGTGCCTCTGAGATGGAAACAGCCGCTGCCATTGGTAACCATCGTAAGTTATACCGGTTGATACGGGCAACAGGCAGCAGGAGACCTGGTGTTAGCGAGACCATACGCGACGAGAGTGGGCAGATGATCCACAGCCTGTCAAAACGCTTGGAGCGTTGGGCTGAACACTTTGCTATGCAATTTAACCGACCTGAGTTATCGCTTTCTTCGGGCATTGAGCGCCCTTCTTCCAAGGCCGTTTCCTTGGATCCGCCCTCACGCGCAGAAGTCGAATGTGAGATCAGGCTGTTGAAATTGCATAAGGCCGCAGGAGCAGATAGAATTCCTCCAGCCCTCTTCAAATTCGGTGGACCTGCTCTAGCAGATGATCTACACGAGTTGCTAGTAAAACTTTGGGAGCAGGAGACAGTCCCGACAGACTGGAACCGCTCCGTCATTGTCCAAATTTTCAAGGGAGGCTCCCGTTTAGAATGTGGCAATCATAGAGGGATCAGTCTGACTTCGATTGCCTCTAACTTGCTTGACTCTCTCATTCCCCACAGACTGACTGGCACTCGTGAAAGCCAAATTCGTGAAGATCAAGCCGGATTTCGTCGAGGTCGGGGCTGCATCGACCACATCTTCACCTTGCGTCAAGTGTTGGAGCACCGTCATGTTTATTGGTGACCCACCGTTGTCATGTTTCTTGACATAAAAGGTGCCTTCGACTCAGTCGATCGATGTGCCCTTTGGGACTGTCTGCTGAGGAAAGGTGTGCCTGATAAATATGTAAACATTATCAAAGCGCTGTATGTGCATAGTTTGGGCAGGGTGAGGGTTTATGGCAAACTCTCGCCAACCTTCAGTATCACCAGCGGTGTGAGACAAGGATGCCCGCTGTCACCTTTCCTCTTCAACTTCGCTATTGATGAAGTCATAGAAACAGCGTTCGCTGGACACGATTTAGATGGTGTGGAGCTACTTCCGGGTGATCGACTTCTTGATTTGGAGTATGCGGACGATATTGCCCTAATCTGTGACAGCCCTCAAACATGCTAAACAGCACTGGACCGATTAGCACTGGCTGTCAATCGTTTTGGGCTATGCTTTGCTCCATCGAAATGCAAAGTACTTCTCCAAGATTGGCAGGGACCCACCCCTGCGCTAACGCTTGGTGGTGATCTGCTAGAAGTCGTTCAGGAATTCAAGTACCTGGGCAGCTATATTAGCACCCGTGGGATTGAAGATGAGGTTACGAACCGTATAGTAAAAGCTCGAGGTGCTTTTGCCAATCTCCGCCACCTGTGGCGCAGACGTGACATTACTCTCGCCCTCAAGGGCAGAGTTTACAACGCAGCCGTCCGTTCAACTCTCCTATATGGCTGTGAAACCTGGCCCATCAGGTCGACAGACATGAAGAGACTCGTCACGCTCGATCATCGCTGCCTTCGCAGCTTAGCTCATGTCTGGTGGGAACACCGCGTGAGCAATGAGCGTGTTCGGCGTTGCGTATTTGGTTCAGGAAGAGCGAGTAAACCGTTCAGCATGGTTATTTCACGCATCAGGCCCCGATGGCTGGGCCACGTGTTGCGCATGCCAGCACACCGACTCCCACGACGTGCATTGTTTGCGCGTTGTGGGTGCGGTTGGAAGAGGAGGAGGGGAGGCCAAGTGATGACTTGGTCGAGAGAAATGAAAACCCTCACTTCGAAGTTGGCGTCGGTTGGTACATCCCGACTGCCTGGCTGGGGTCCTAAGGACGGTGAACACGTTTGGTTGGACACACTTGCTGATATGGCTAGGAGCCGGCCCCAATGGCGTTTGTGTTGAGTTCCTTTGTCCATCCCCCTCCAAGCACGATCTCAATCGTTAGGCATAATATGACTTTCTTTTACGGCAGCCAGCTGTTAGCTCTCCGGAACGATGTCCATCCGTTACTGGGGACTCAGCGGGCGTGCCACTGTTTGTTAGTTTGTTTTTTCTTTTCTTGCCTTTTGTATTGCGGCACAATAGCTGAGGTGTTTTCCACCTCCAGCTAACGTGTAATGATGATGATGATGATGAACCCTAGCCTAGCTGCCTTAGACTATCACAATGTTTGCTATTTTTATATATGTATTAGCCTGAAGAGAATTATCGAAAGGAAATTTCTTCACTGGAAAGCTGATTACAAATGTGATTGTCTATAATGAGAGAGAAAACGGCCCAGTGACCGTCATCTTGGATGAGCGGATAGGGATGAGATCAAAAAATATGAGAAACTAAATACGTTAGCATACAGGTGATAGAAAGCCGAAGGAGGGAAACTAGGTTGCGTACTATCGAGAGAGATGCAGTTACTTTTGGGCTTATTCGGATTCAAGCAGCGGGCAAATTGAGACATCGTTTTATACCGATACAGAGGAAGAGATGTGATTTTCGTCTAAAAACAATTCTAATGGTTCAATTGCTCTCCGGAGCTAAAGCAATGCGCAACGCAGAAGCAAAAGAAGTGAAACAAAAATCGAAACCAACCACATACCTTGACTTGATTGTTCGAAGACGTGATCTACACCTCTCCAAATGAGTGAATCGCTCAAAATTGGCGAGGAATGCGGATAGATCCAGAGCAATAATCAATCTGGAGGTGTAAAGTACGATGAAGACGCAAAACGTCGCACAGACTACGGCTTCCAGAGGGAGGGCTGTAATGCAGGATAGGATGCGACCGGAGGGTGGTGGGTTAGTCGGGGGTTAGCAAAACTCGAGTGAAAATCGACGCACCATTACTCATCCATACACCAAAAGATAAATGGACAATAAAAGTGCATAATGAGTGGGAAAAAGCTTGTTCATTATTGAAAACAAAGACGACAGATCCCAATGTGAGTGCCGTTAGGAAAGTGAAGGAATATGAAGACAAATCACTGGCACAGGTGATAAAACTCGGTCAGTGTTAGATCAAACGGGGAAACAAAGAAAATGGGAAATTGTCACGGAGGAAAAATTAGCAATTGTGGAGAGAACGAAGAGAAAATGCAACCAAACAACATATGAAAAAGATACGAAAATGGAAGACTAGGTAATAATATTCGGGTAGTGTCGCAGAACTCGGTCCTTCAGGGACACGGATTATTGCTAACGAGTAGGAGGATTTCAATTTAATTTTTTTATTCATTGTTTATTTGTTTGCGTTATGAGCCATGTAGCTTGTGAGGTACTGGGAGGAAAACGGCTTATTCGGCAGAACAGGAATAGCTAAAATGACAGCATGATTAAGTTGTAAAAGCCTCGATGTAAATAATAAAGTCACTTCCATAACTAACGAGGTTTATGCATTCATGAGATTCTTCTTTTGAATCAGTCAGACAAGCACTCCAGCGCTGCCAAATAAGAACCAATCAGCGGATAGGTGAAGATGTATAGGCGTCCAAGCTAGCAGCTTGCCGCATCATGTAAATCTTCTGCCTGCATAATCCCACCACAGGTAAAAAAGTAAGCAGGCAGAAAAGAGGGACGGAAACGTATGAGCGAGTGGGTGGCTGCGCCATATGAGACAGGATCCTTACATACCGATGCGGCCAATCCCAGAAATACTATTGGTAAAGCTGTTGTGCTCCAGACAATTCGTGCTTTATTGCAATACCATCGGTCAGTTACTCTGTGCAAACAATCAGTAGATCGGAATGACCGAGGATGATGGTCAACAGACATGAGAAGAGTGTGACTGAGCCAACTGAAGCATTCAACGTCGGAATCGCCACGGCGCAAAATCTGCACACAATGAATGGAGCACAGGATCAGTACTTAAAGAAAAAATGACTGAGACAGAGGCGCAAAGGGACACGTCTTTATCCCGCACAATGGAGCTACGGTGGGACTCAATCATAACTAGCGAACGAATGTCTTTGGAGAGATTTCTGGGTTTATTGTCATGACCGTTGGGGTTAGCTGAGTCAACTAGAGGCGAACGTCGAAGATATGCTCCATATGAACACTTAACTGTGATGGGGACAGTTAAAACAATGACGGGATAGAGCACGCAGACCAATCAGACGGTCAATCGGACGCGAACCCGCAGACTGCAACTGGTCGCACAAAGCATAGTCGTACGTGTAAGCGGCATCGCTGATTGGTTGATGACCTTTAGCTACCACCTGATCCGTTCCCTGATTGTTTGAGTAGACTAAACCAAGATCAAGTGTTCCACCGAGCGACAAAGGTTCGGCGTGCCGTCTCGAACTGCTTGCTGCACGGTAGACATAAGAAGGGGAAATCAAGGTGTAGATCATGGAATGCTTCGACAAGACAAGAAAGCAACAACCGGCTGAGTCTATCAAACGCAAGTCTGAGCAGAAAAAGAAACATAAATAAAGATAGATAAAGGAAGTCAAACTGGACCGGACAGTACGTGAACTTTTACACAGCTTCGTTCGTTGGTGCGTAATCCATCAAGATGCGCGCACAAGACAGTGAACTAAAATATCATTGAAGACGTATTGCAGTAGAGCAAGGAACTGCTTTTTGAGGACGGGTGTCCAGGTAAGACGAGCTCATTCAAAAGCGATAAAGCAGACGGTTAAAAAGAAGCAACAATTTCTGACATTTCCTCCTTAAGCAGCCAACGTGACTGAGACCTGTAAGCGGTGATTGACGCCGTTGCAAAAATACTTTTAATAGGACCAACCTAAATGTGGCATGCATATATATATATATATATATATATATATATATATATATATATATATATATATATATATGGATATATTTAGTGGCGAGTCACATCGGTCCAGTCGCAGTGTTGTTAAACGGACATATATGGCTTTGTATAGGGAGGACGCTTGTCAGGTGGAAACCCACCACGTCCTGGGATACTGCCGCCGAACTATTTGCTGCAACGGACTAAACCCGAACGACCAAGCTGCCAGCACATGGTTTAGATCGTTCAAATCCTTTGGTGCCTAAAGTTAAAGACAGATTGCCTAATCATCTCGAATCAATGGTAATCTACTTGATTACTAGTCTTTGCGGGCCTGGATATATTGGACGTACGACCAGACGCTTAGGTAAGAGGACTGAGGAATTAATCGGCCGATGTATTTAATAAGCTCATGCCCAAGGAATATGTCTCGAATTAACTGAACAATCAGGTTGACAGAACGAGTTTTAACGTAGTGCCCAGGGATCTGGTTGATATCGGATAGTAAATTGACAAACAAGCCGGTTTCGAGACGCTGCGTAAAATGTCAGCAAAGTAAAGCCAATGGTTAACGGCCGTATGATGGCTATCGCGGAGACGGTGGGCATAAGACAGGAAAGCCTACGCGATCAGAAAAACACAAATGATCAGAGCACCAAATCTTCCGTGGCCGGTCACAAATGAAATGAATGGAATCAGACTGCGACATGGGAACTCGCATGTTCTCACAGACCATTCCAACTGTGTATGTATTGTTTGTACGTGGCGTCAGATGTTCCCGAACAGTTGCGAACGGACAAGTTACCGTATCGTGCTGATTACACCGAAGCTTCCCTTGCACAGATTTGGTGTGCCACCTGGCGAGGTGAACTGTACTACAAATACTAAGGTGTAAAATCCATGTTTGCCTTTGATTGAGGTAGTAAAAGTGCCCCTGTTGAGGTTCCGTCTTCTCGCCCACTCTGGTTTGTGGTGCAGTCGTGAGATTTCTCGTTTCGTCTTGTACATAGGGCTAATCTGTTGAACGGTGGCCTACTTCATCGCCCACTCGGTAGTCACAAAGCGCGAGATACAATCGGTCCGAATTAAGTCAGCTAGAGTGGAGGGGAAAAGCGTACCATGCGATCAATTGGCTTATTCAATTCGAAATGCGATAACCCCTTCATCACCTGACTTAGACATCTTAAGCTTTAGCTGCTTGAATGCAACCTCAGTTAGCAACGGCTTGCAAATGAAGTCATCTCTCTGATCAACTGATTCTCTTTGCGCTCCCAGTCGAACTCAACTCCCAGACAAATAAATAATCGCAACTAATGCACCGTTGTATGCTACTTGCTTGCTTTCCTCCTGGAATTAATAATATTCTGATACAAGGTTCCACCATATGTTCAAAGCTAGCGTCTGCGTTAATAAACTGTACTTGATTTGACACACTCAGGGTCCAAGGTGATTTGTCGGATGCCATTCCAAACAACACGTGGCGTTCGTCAGGGTTGTCCAATTTCCTTATTTATGTTCAATTTCGTCGTGGACTCCACCATGGAGTGTTTCCTTGCGGAATCTCACGATTCTGGCGTTGTGGTGCTGCCTGGTGTTAGATTAGTTGATCTTGACTATGCAGACGATATCGTCTTGCTGTTGAACGATGCTGAGGCGGAGCAATCAAGCCTGAATAGCCTCTCCAAAGTGGTCCCATCATTCGGCATGCGCTTCGCACCTTCAAAGTGCAACGTGCTCTTACAGGACCACCAGTCACTTGATGCTCCTTGATACTTGATGGCAAGGAACTCGAAGCAGTTGATTAATTCACTTACCATGGCAGCTGCATCGGCAACGATGGGCGTATGGCAACTGAAGTCAGTTCATGCATTGCAAAAGCTAGAACGGACTTTTTGAATCTGCGGCATCTGTGGTGTTGGACAGTGGCTTCCTTCCGTCCGGAAGGCCATGTTTACAAGGCCACAGTGAGGGCCATCCTGCTTCATGGGAGTGAGACTTAGACGCTTCGGTCTGATGATATGAGGCGCCTTCAAGTCTTTGATCATCGCTGTCTGCGGAGCACTGCAGGTGTCGGGTGGCACCAGCGTGTCCGCAACGATGATGTGCGTGGGCGAGTGCTGGGCAGCGATAACCAAGCTAGTTCATCAGAACAACAGATAGCACTGAATAAGTTGCGTTGGCTTGTGCACGTATGCCCGGTCACCGCTAACCGAGCAGGGACTTGTTTAGTCTGCCAGGTGTAGGGTGGCGCAAGATTCGAGGTGGACCAAAGTTGACTTAGCAGCGGGTAATGAAGTCGCTGACGACCCAACTCGGTGCCGTCGATCCGTCTCGCCTTCCAGGCAGAAGCTCACGTGACTCGCCTTGCGCTTGGCTCGAGACGTTACAGGACATGGCTCGCAGTCGGCAGCAGTGGCGCGTCTGCTGCCGTCTACAGGACGCGTGGGAACGGCGCTAAGCGAACATTCATTAGGTGCGTCCAATGAAAAATGGGGATCCAAAACAATTGGTATCATCTAATAGATAACACGTGTATGACGGCGAAACGGCATAAAGTGCTGATACGCTACCGATGATAGGAATGAGAGAAGGAACAGGAAAAACAGGAGGGAATGTCAGTAGGAGTAGAATCACTAGCGTGATGACTTGTGGTGGAGATGACGATGGAGACAACAATGCGAATCTGTGGTTAGAGGAAAGTAATCTTACTCGGATACCAGTTGAACAATATGAGGCGAAAAATCCGTTCTTCCAATAACGCAAACGACGATTCATTCAGTCCAGACAACACAGATGCAGAGAGTAGTATGCTAAAAAGGGGAGAAAGAATACGCATGAGTAGTGGGCAACAAATATGACGAGATCCTTCGAGTGCTTCCTGCAGTCGTCTTATGAGTTGTGTGTCTACCATGTTCAAATCGTCACATGCAGTGACAAAGGTATACAGAAACTATCGTGAAATCCTGTTACATCCAAAATCAACTGAAGTAGGCAACAGACAGTGCGCTGTTCATTTCTCTTTAAAGAAATACGACCGCAACCTCGGCACTGAAGTACAGTCAGTAGATCCGGCTGATTTCACCCGAGTAGTCATGGTAACAAAAACTAACAATGTTGATGAGAAAGGGGAAAGAAACTGAAAAAACAAATACACCAAAAATTGGGCATCACAGATGTCCCCGGTTGAAGAGACTGAGTGGCGACATGGTCATAGTGACCACACGTTTAGTACAACTAAAGGGCCAAATCCTTTCGGCGTTGTTTGGACCAAAGTAGACTCAAACGTTGTGGAAATGAAGGCAAATAATTCATATTCATAAGGCATTTATACTCAGCCTGAAAACTCTAGGCGAGCGACGGTGCTCGATGCGCTTTCCAAGCTCGCACGGAACACTGCAGTTTCACGACACCGCAGCAACATGATTCTAGCGGTTCATATCAGTTATATAACAAGAATCAGCTTTTCAATTCAAATCAATACGTTAGCACAGGGTGTGAAACACATCTCAGCCAACGCGCTGCAATACAAAATAAAAGATACTAAATAAAATACACCACAAAGTAAAAAATTAATATAACCTTAAATATGATGTTATGCACATAGTATGAGATCGTAACTGGAGGGGGATGGAAAAGAAACGCACAACACAAAAGCCATTGGGGACGGCTCTTCGCCATAGCAACAAATGTGTCCAACTAAAGGTGTTCATCGTCTTTCGGACCCCAACCGGGAGCCGAGACGCTCCAATTGAGGCCAGCTTCGAAGTGAGGGCCTTCATTCCTCTCGACCAAGTCATCGCTTGGATACCTCTCCTTTTCTTCTATCCAAAACCGCGGCGCGTAAACAACGCACGTTGCGGGAGTCGGTGGGTTGGCATGCGCAACATGTGCGCTAGCCATCGGAGCCTAGTATAGTGATACTGAGCGGTGCACGCGCTTTTACTACACCAATTACACGACGCCGAACACGCTCATTGCTCGCGCGGTGCTCCCACCAGACATCAGCTAAGCTAAGAAAGCAGTGATAATCGAACGTGACTAGCCTCTTTATATAGGTCGACTTGGTGGGCCAGTTTTCACAAACGTATAAGGATGAACGGACGGCTGCATTAGAAAATCTGTCCTTCACGGATAGAATGATGTCGCATCTATGCCGTAGGCGGCGGAGATTAGAGAAAGCACCTTGAGCTTCTGCTATACGGTTTGTAATCTCATCTTCGATCCCATGGGCGCTAATATAGCTGCTCAGGTACTTGAATTTCTGAACGACTTGTAGCTGATCACCGCCAAGGGTCAGCGCAGAAGTGGATCCCTGCCTATCATGGAGAAAGACTGCATTTCGATGGGGCGAAGCACAGCCCAAAAGGATTGACGGCCAGTGATAATCGGTCCAAAGCAGCTTGGCACTTTTGGGAGCTGTCACAGATGTGGGCAATGTCATCTGCATATTCCAAGCCAAGAAGTCGCTTACTAGAAAGTAGCTCCACATCTAGTAGGTCGTATCCAGCGAACACTGCTTCCATGACTTCCACAATGACGAAGTTAAAGAGGAAAGGTGACAGTGGGCAACTTTGTCTCACACCGCTGGAGATATTGTAGGGTGGTGACAGTTTGCCATAAACCCTCACTCTGCCTGAACTATGCGCACACAGAGCTCTGAGAATTTTATGTATTTTTAGAGCAAGGCTTTCTTAAGTAGACTGTCCTAAAGGGCACGTCGATCCCCGAATCGGATGCACCTTCAATGTCGAGAAACGCGACAACGATGAATCGCCAAATAAATATGGTAGTGTTAGAACAATTGACGCAAAGTGAATATTTGGTCGATGCAACCTCGACCTCGACGAAACTCGACTTGCTCTTCACGGATTTGGCTTTCACGAGTGCCAGTCAGTCTGTGGAGAACGACAGATGCAAGCGACTTAGAGGCAATTGAGATCAGACTGATTCCTCTATGATTGCCGCATTCCGAACGGGAGCCTCCCTTGAAAATTGGGACTATGACGGAGCGGCAGCAGTCTGTCGGGACAGTTTCACTAGCAACTCGTGTAAATCATCTACTAGAGCAGGTCCCCCGAATTTGAAGAGGGCTGAGGGAATTCTATCTGCTCGTGCGACCTTATGCAATTTCAACAGTCTGATCTCAAGTTGGATTTCTGCGCGTGAGGGCGGATCCAAGGAGACGGCGTAGGGAGAAGGGCACTCAATGCCTGAAAAAGAAAGTGATAACTCAGATTGGTTAAACTGCCTTTCAAAGTGTTCGGCCTAACGTTCTAAGCGTTTTGACAAGCTATGGATCGACTGTCCACTCTAGTAGCGTACGGTCTTGCTAAAACCCAGTCTCCTGCTGCATGTTTCCCGTATCAGACGGAATAACTTACGATGATTACCAACGGCAGCTGCTGTTTTTATTTCTGATGCACGATGAGACCACCAGGCTTCGCGGCCCATCTTCAGGCTAGCACGCAGTTTTGCTCTGAGAGTTTTGCGAGTCTGGGTGTATTCGCTTCCAGCCGGAATACGTCGGCGAGCATTCATAAGTTCCTGAGATTGTATAGAGACCCAATGTCCAGGTCGGCAATTTGATTTGCCACATGAAGACATGTCTGCTGATAGTAACGTTTGAAGAATATGCAACCTTGAAGCACTGGGTTTCCTGTATCAGTCTAAATAATACAATGAGAAGATGGATGTTGCACGATGATATCATTTCGCGCTTTCTGAGCACATGCAAATGAGCGACATTTAACGATCAAGAAAGGAGAAAGCAATGAGTTAAATGGTGTCAGAATGGGAATGGAAGAAACATAAGGGCAGAAACTCCAACAGAATCACAACGTTGGAGCAAAGTGTCACTATCCTCAAGGAAGCATGAGGGTGACAGTCAACTGTTTTTGCACACATAGGTCCGGACGGCTGTGAGTAATTGCCACGAGCTTGAGTATCTTGGCGTTTCGATTACGGTAGATAACCGTAAACGCCCAGTTAGAATCAATTTGGTGCCTCGTTCCAAGTAGATGTCTGGCTATCGAAGAGGCCGACAATTTGGATCTTGACTCTTGTCCCTGCGATTGTTTTGCCATACTTGTAGCAACCCATTTCGGGATGTGCTCACCGATCCTCTTGCGCAGACACCGATCTGTTCGGCCGATGTAACTGCTTCCATAATTACAGACAAAGTTGTAAATGCAATGTGTTGTGGCAGAGACCGCCTTTGTAAGCTTAACCGGAGGCGTTGATAACTTATTGGTTGTCCAAACTGGGCACAGTTTTTCAGCACTGCATGTACGTCGAATTGCTGTGGCAACACGTCGCTCGAGTTGCGTAGCCACATCATCTCCTTTGAATGGCAATTGGAGATAGACGGGCATTTTTGACACTGTAGGGGGCTTTTGTTTGTTCCCTTCCGTCTTGCGACCGTGAAACTTAGTAAACGCTGTCGGGTAGCGTGTGATGAACTGCAATTCAGCTTCGACACATTCAGGACTGCATATCTGCGAGCTCGTTGGAACAGCGTTTTGACGAGGCAACGTTTGTACCGGACCGGTGTGAAGCTGCTAAAGCTTTAGTAAAGTCCCGTCCAAGTGGCTTTTCGGTAGACAGAACGTCGTATCGAGCCGTCGTCAGTTCTATTCAAAAGAACATACAAAAAAGGCAGACAGTTGTTGTTCTCTAACTCACATGTAAAATGAGCGTTCGGGTGTGCATTGTTCATCATCTCGAGAAGACGTTGGGCGGCATTGTTGTTGGGGGCGATCACTAGGGTATCGCTTGTAAAGACACAGATGGTCTAGGTGTGAATCACAGCGTGCTTCAACCATTGACATGAAAATGTCTGCTAGCGTGGGACCGAGTGGACTTCCCATTACAACGTCGTCCCCTTGTCGGTAGGACTCACCTTCGAATAAGGAATGTACATTCTCGATGCATAACAAAATTAAATCTTTTAGATATTCGACGGGTACCGGCAACGCCACTTTGCTATTCGTTACGAAATCGCATAGGTATTCCACCGTCTCTCTTAATGGGACGTTAGTAAAAAATGATTGAACATCCAGTGAAGTTTGTCTGCTATGTTCATACTTTGTACATGTTCGATCAGTTCGAAGGTGTCTTTGACAGTGTCTCACGACCATTTGCCTGACTGGCGCTAGTATCCTGACTAACCACCTGGCCAGTTTGCGATACGGAGAATTATTCATGGACAATATCGGTCTAAGAGGTAGGCTAGCCTTGTGGATTTTCAGTATGTCATATATTTTGGGGTGTAAGTGCCCGTTGGTTTAAGTGTGTTGTAGATTATTTCTGCAGTCACTCCGTGGTGTAGCAATATTTTCAGCCCGCTGGCCACCGACTTTTCGATCTGGGTTACCTCGGTCCCACTTTTGTTCTTTTGAAACCTGCATTTATCACTAAGTATCGCAGCTTGTTTATGTAATCTGACTTGTCCAAGATGACGACTCCGATACCCTTGTCCGGCTTCAGAACTATCACATTCTTGGATTTCAGATAGCTTATTTCTTTGATGTGGTGCTTGTCTAGAGTGCAAGTTTGGCGAATCGGCGCCTTCATGAAGCCACTTGCAATGTCGACAAGCTTAACTTTAAGGCCGTTGTAGTTTTCCTGTGTCGTTGGGTTAAGCTTCGATAGTTGCTCAACTAGGTTTTCGAATTGTGCTTCCACATGGATTCGGTTAACCTTCCTTAGGTGGAGTTTGTAGTTCAGACCCAGTGAGAGAGCTTCCATTTGCGCTCTGTTCCATGCTTCTGTAAGTCATCAGTAAAAATGGATTCCTCATCGGCGTTCTCGA